TAAAAAGATGTTTTAAGGTCTAAAAGATATTTTTAGGATGGCAATACAAGTTATGATAGAGAATGGTTTAGCTATAAAACTTTGGGCTCATCAAGATAGATAGATAATTAAGTAATTTCTCAAAATTTGCCAAATACGCCGGGCGGTGGTGGCGCACGCCTTTAATCCCAGCACTCGGGAGGCAGAGCCAGGAGGATCTCTGTGAGTTCGAGGCCACCCTGGGCTACCAAGTGAGTCCCAGGAAAGGCGCAAAGCTACACAGAGAAACCCTGTCTCGAAAAACCAAAAAAAAAAAAAAAATTTGCCAAATACAAATGGATTGGACATTGTAAATGTAATCCTTACTTGATAATTGTTTTTATTGTATATAGTTTTACTGTGTTACGGTTAAAACCTTCCCTTTTAATTTAGACAAAAAGGAGGAAATGTTGTGGGATATTTGTACACCATATGGAGATGTATTGCTTGCGATTTGTGATAAAAAGCTAGGCAGGAGAATATAGGCAGGACTTCTGGGCAGAGAACTCTGGAAAGAAGAAAGGTGGATTTGCCATCAAGACATGGAGAGGAAACAGGAGGTACAAGATGGAAAAGAGCTAATGCCTTGTGGCAAAATGTAGATTAATATAAATAGGTTAACTTAAGTTATAAGAGCTAGGGGGACAAGTGTAAGCTCAGGTCGAGTTTTCAAAATTAACAAGTCTTCATGCTATTTGTGAGCTGGCAGTCCTGACACAAAAGCTTGCTACAGTAACTCTTACATCTTTGGTGAACTGGTTGTTCTTCCCACTTCCACTTCCAGAGTGCTGGGTTACAGGCATGCACCTTCATTAGCCTCTGGGCAAAAGTGGTATTCTAGGGGAGGCTAGCAACCCTGAGGATAACAGTCTTGCTGGTTCAGGGCTGGAAGGTACTCCTCTGAGTCTGGAATACTTGATGTGGGTGGCAGTGAACAGAGTGAGAATCCTCTGCCAGAGAGGTGGACTTGGCTAGATCTCCAAGGAACAGGTGGCCCCAGATAAAGGCCTTGTGCTTCACCCCAGGGGCAGCAGGAGCCCTTGACAGGTGTTGAGCAGGGGTGGGCAGCTCCCTCTGTTACCATCTCTGTGATGTCCTGGAGCAGAAGAAAGAAAAAGTGGGGATGAAGAAGAGGTCCACTTCTCTGACCCAGCTGTCCACCTGCTGCTTATGTGAGGGTTTGTCACGGGGCTCTCTACCTTGGGCAACTGTTTCATGAGGAATGCTCTTTTTCTGTCCTCCATCTGTGGCAGCATAGATCTGTCTGCCTGTCAGAGGGTCTCTACCTTACTTATGGACCCTCCTGTCATCGGAATTCCATGTCTTGGTATCAGGCAATAAAAAAAATCAGGGTGTTTTTCCAGCTTTGGGCTGTCTGCCCTGTATATGTAAGCTGAAGAGCCTCACTAGAGTCCCCTCCTGGTCTGTCTCAGGCATGGTATAGTCAATATGCTCTCTGTGAGGATTCTTGTTTGAAGATACCCACACAAATCCCCTTACTGTCATCTAACTGGGGCAAAAGACACAAAGAACTCCATCCTTGGCCCAAGACTCCAGCCCCTACTGGACTTTGTTTTTCACACCAGCAGAGCCCAACCCGGACTCCCCCTCCCTCTCCTCTCCCGTTCCCCTCCCACCCAGAATGCTGAGTTGCAGTTTCCTCATTGCTTTGCAGCTGCTTTTATGCTGTGTCATGGTTGGGAGGGGGGATTTCACACAAAGGGAAGGCAGATTTTGCTGAGTCACCCTCAGCCTCCCTCTGAATAGTTAGTTTGTACAAAGGGCAGCTTTAGCCTCAGGCAGGAGGAAATGAAAGTTCCAGCAAGGTACAGAAGCCTCTTGTTTGGTTCTAAATTGTAAAGCTCTGTCTGAAACACTTCAAACTGCATACACGTGAGCGTGCATACACCCACACACACAGAGTTGCTGCTCTTTACCCCATTCCTCTGTCACAGAAGCTGGCAGTTCCATCTGCAGAATGGAAAGCCTTGAAGTTGTGACTGATCCCTCTTAGGTCTGTTCTATCCTGGAATCCACCGCAGCAGCCTGGGAAATGGGCTTGGGGGGAGGGGGTGTGGGTGTAAGGCTGGGCACTCCTGTAGCAGGAGTTCCTCAACATTCTAGCTTCCTGAGGCTGACTGTGCATGTCAGCTTGCAGCTGTGTCCCCCATCTTTATAGGAGGTGGGACAGCATTTTCCTGTCCTCTTACCCCTTTCCTCATCCATAAACTGTGTCTGGACCCATCATGCACTTTGTAATGACCCTGGATCCTGAAGGATGGTCCTGGACAGTCTCACATCTGCCTTCGGAATTTCTCTCTGGTTTTGATGTCAGAGTATAGACATCTTTGAGGGGTGGGTATTCAGCTAGCCACTGCAGCAGGAAGAAGGGCATGGATTGGGGTTTTTTGGGTGCATGAGGCAAAGGAAGTCAGTAAGCTGAGTCAGTGTTGGCATGGTTGCGGGGCAGGGGCTGGGAAAGGACCAGAACAGCCTGGTCTGGTTGCTTCTGTCCCCAAATTCTGAGTAGCCTATCTTCTAGCTACATCTGGGGCTCCCAGAGAACAAGCCAGGCCCCAGGAGTCAGAACCTCCGGGTAAACAAAAGTTGTGTCGCTAATGGGGCCACAGCCTGGGTCAGTGCCTCCCTCTTTGGGTGCCCCAACTCCCCATGTTGAAAAGAAGATTCATGTTGTTTCATTTTCTGTGGTCCTTGGAATAACAGAAAAATAACAGAATAATCTCTATATCTACAGATTTTCCATTATTCCCCCCTAAAACTCCTGGACCCTCCATGACAGGGCTTCAGGTGGGGTGGTCAGGAGGGAGTCCTGGCTTCTTCTAACCAGGGCTAAAATTCTGGTTCTGCTGTCAATATAGCTGAGTGACAAGGAAATTCCTTGACTTCACTGTTTCTTATGAGACTCAAGTAGACAGAAGAGAGAGGCGAATGGCCGGTGGACAGACCTGTGGGCTGCTGTGGGAATGAGCCGAGCTTCTGCACTCAGAAAGTACTCCATTTGTGGCTAGGGCTGCACTTTGTGATCATAGCTTGGTTTCAGCCCTTTCTGGGAGCTTAGTGCCATGACATCCAAACACAGCATCCCCATTCCCTCAGGAGCCTTTGTGCAGCCACATTCTTACAGTTAATATTAACCATCTGACACGTGCCAGTCACAGGTCCAGCCCTGAGGATTTACAGCACAAAGTGGACAGCGTCCCTGCTCACCTGCTCTCCACCCTCCCTGGGGAAGATGGCCCTCTCCAGAACACCTACAGAAGCACCCGCTGGTTGGCAGTAGTCATAGCCACTTGTCCTGTCTACACTATTCGCAGGCAGAAGATATGCCACCTGCTCTCCAGGGACTGTGGAGTCCTCCTGTTACAGTGAATTCACATCCTATCTTAAGCCTCTGTCCTGGTCTGTAAAGTGGAGTTCTCGAGAGTGTGAAATGAGTTGTCTACGTGCAGTAGGTCTGCAGTTCCTGGAGCTGCTCTTCTGTTGTCACTGCTCACAGTGGCACAAGTGATGACACAGATTCTTGGGCACATGCAGGTGAGGCTTGGCCATCCCTTTCCCTCTATGGGGGAGTCCACCCTTGACAGGCAGTTGCCAATCTTCATTCGTCTTTTTTTCAGAGCTGATGATTTGCAACCACTATTTCTAAATGATATCCTTAAAAATAGAAGAAACAAAGAATGGAATCCTTGTTATCATCAGAAGTCAGTTTTAGGCTGGAGAGAAAGGTGGCTGAGAGGCTGGTAGTACTTGCTGCTCTGCCAGAGGACCTGCATTTGGTTCCTAGCACCCACACGGGCAACTCACTACCACTGTAACTCTAGTTCCTGGGGATCCAACGCCCTCTTCTGACCTTCTCAAGCATTTGTATGCATGTGGATGAATGCATTATACTTGGGTCCAAACACACACATAAAATACTTTTTTTTCTTTTGAGGCAGGGGTCCTCCATGTAGTCCTGGCTGTCTTGGAACTCACTCCGTAGACCAGGCAGACCTCCAACTCACAGAGATCTGCCTGCTTCTGCCTCCTGAGTGATGGGTCAAAAGGCATGAGCCACTATTGCCTAGCAATAAATATGTTTTAAAGAAGTCATTTTTAACCCAAAACAGGACAACTAGAACTCTGAGTGTTTTGAGGAACCACTCAGTACTGAGGGGCCCACATCATCAGGAATTCAGGTGATTGTCCAAGCCCTACCCTGCTAAGCCTCAGTGGGTATCTGTGATGATGGATGTGTCCTGACTTCAGGGTCTCACACTGGTAGGCATCAGGAAGTCATGGTGTAGACCAGGTTCTAGAACAGTGCCGAGGAGGCAGCCAGACACTCAGGTGCTGCTCTCCATGAGACCCTAGGCAGCACACTTCATCCTCTGGCTCAGTTTCCCCACCTGTGAAACTTGAGCCATCTACCCAGCACTATGATGTATAGGGATGAACCATGGTGCTAGCAAACCAAGCAGGACTGAGTGTCCATAAGAGAGTTGAGAAAACCAGCTGTCCTCAGAGTTCTGGGAAGACAGATTCAGGTAGACTCAGGACCCCGGTGGGTCAGTCCCTAGGGTTGCCCACCAGCATCTCACTTTGACAAACATTGTCTCTTAGTTCTGGAACCTTCTAGATTCTTTTTTTGTTTGTTTTGTTTTTCAAGACAGGGTTTCTCTGTGTAGCTTTGCACCTTTCCTAGAACTCACTCTGTAGCCCAGGCTGGCCTTGAACTCACAGAGATCCGCTTGCCTCTGCCTCCCGAATGCTGGGATTAAAGGCGTGCACCACCACCGCTGGCCCCTTCTAGATTCTTGAGGGGCTACTCCTGTCCTGTCACTGAGAAGAGAGGATTCTGGAAAGAATCCAAATTCTGCCCAGAGGCAACTCATTCAGAGTTCCTTTTTTTTAAAACCTTTTTTTTTTTTTTTAAAGATCCTGCGGCAGTGCTTGCCAGGGTCATATGACTTATTCCCTTGCAGACTAGGCCAGCCCGCCCCGGGGCAGGGTGTTGCAACAGGAGCTCAGCTGGGCGGCCGCCACGTGACCCGCTTACTTAAAAGGCTAGTTCGGGCAGCTGCTCACAGTCCTGTTTCCTCCAGAGTTTCCGCAGACAGCCATTGAGTGGAGCCTGCCGGAGCGGAGCCATCTGAAGCACAGCCCGGAGCCTAAAGCAGACAGAATCAGCCTGAGCCAGCCCAGCCCGGTGATGGAGCGCCCACAGCCAGACAGGCAAGCAGCTGCGTGGGGACGGGAAGTGTGGCGATCCTCGTGCCCTGTTCAGCCAGGGAATGCTGTGGGGCCAGGGGACGAATTACCGCCCAGTGTGCCTGTAGCCATGGGCAGCTGGAGGGAGAAAATGTGATTCACCCCTCTGGCACCCTGTGGGTGACGGGATGGGAGTGTCTTTGTGGTATCCAGGTTTGACGCCTGGTGAGCACACTGCTGAGTCCTGGAACCATGGACTCACTATTCTATACTTGGCTCTTCCGGTGGCGCGGAGTGCTCACTTGTCAGGCTGGACATAACCTTGGTTGTTCTGTTCTCAACCTTACAGGAGAATTGCAAGACAGCAATAGCAGAACTAGAGGGTGTTTAGGCTGTTTTTTGTTTTTGTTTTTTGTTTTGAGAGAGAGAGAGGGTCTTTCTATGTAGTCTTAGCTGTCTTGGAACTCGATATGTAGACCAGGTTGGCCTTGAACTCAGATTCGCTTCCCTTTGCCTTCTGAGTGCTGGGACTAAAGGTGCTCCACCACCATACTTGACTTTTTCTTCTCCTTTTTTTTTTTTTTTGAGACAGAGTTTCCAGGCTGTCCTGGAACTTACTTTGTAGACCAGGCTGACCTGGAACTCACAGAGACCTGCCTGCCTCTGCCTCCTGAGTGCTAAAATTAAAGATGTGCACCACCACCACTATGTTTTATTTATTGTGCATATAGGGTGGCTACATATGTGCCATACTAAACATGTAGAGGTCAGAGGACAACTTGAGGGGATCACTTTTCTCCTTCTAATATATGAGTTCCAAGGAAGAGGGGGTTACTAGGCATGGTGGCAAGTGCCTTTACTGGCAGAGCTAGCTCACACTGTCTACCTCTAACTCCTGTGCTTTGAGCGTTAAGGATTGGACTTAGGACTTCAAACATTCCAGACAAGCACTCTACCACTAAGGTGCAACATCACCCCTTTTTATTTAAAGGCAGTGTCTTAACTAAGTACTCCAGGCTGGCCTGGATCTCTCAATCCCCCTGCTGCAGAACTCCTTTGACTGCTTAATGCAGACACTTTGAGTGTAATCTGGGTGTGTGTGCAAGGGGTTTTTTTCTTTTTCTTTTTTTCTTTTTTCTTGACTGTCCTTCCTACATAGCCCTGATGGTCCTGAAATCCACCATGTAAACAGACCAGACTTCAAATTCACAGAGATTACCCCCTGCCTCTGCTCCTGAGTGCTGGGAGTAAAGGTGGGTTATAAAATTTGTAATAGAAACTTTTTGAAAGAAACCTTCACATTAGGTCTAAAAGCTTATCAAGGTATCTACCCTTAGCCAGGAGTGGTGGCTCATGCCTTTAATCCCAGCACTAAGGAGGCAGAGGCAAGACAGATCTCTGTGTTCGAGGACTGCCTGGTATGCAGAGTGAGTTCCAGAACAGCCAGGACTACACTGTCTTGAAAACCAAAATAAAATAAAATAAATCAACCCTTGAGCATGGTCCTCAGACTGATGTGACTCCTCTCGGTGGTCAGGCCATACTTTCCCTCCCCTTCACTGGGAATAATTAGGACAGGAATTCTCCCTGTGGCTTGGGGGACTATATCCCATAGTATTTAATGACTGATGATTATTTGCATGGTTAAGGCCATGGCTTGGCCTGGTAAAGACGTTGTACCTATTCTGCAGGTCCAACATGTGAAGATGAGGTCCCAACATTCTTGGTTTAGCTTGAAAAGAACCATCCACAGCTACCCCACTGACTCTCCTCCCTTCCTCCACAGCATGCCCAAGGATCTGTCTGAGGCCTTGAAGGAGGCCACCAAGGAGGTGCACACCCAGGCAGAGAATGCTGAGTTCATGAGGAACTTTCAGAAGGGCCAGGTGACCAGGGAAGGCTTTAAGGTATGCGACATGTAGGTTGGCCAGAGCATTGGGGGAGGGTGTAGCAGGTATGCCCAGGGCTCATGCTAATAATTTAATGGAGAGGTTGGAGCCAAGGATGATGAGGGCTTGTCTAAGGAAGTCATCCTATTAATTTGACACTAGCTCAGAGGAGAGAGGAGAGGGTCACAAAGCAAGTTCTTGGCCTGCTTTGTGATGCTGACAGAGGAGCCTGGACAGCAGGATGGTGAACACTAACTCTGTGTTGGTAACTTTAGACTCATCTCAACCTTAGGAGTAGATAAGGGGGGAAGCCCAGAGAGGTTAAGAGGCTAAACAGTCAGTGTAGGTGGAAATGACCAAAACCAAACAGATGGCCTAATTTCAGAACATGTACTCTTGACCTGGCTAACCCAGGGCATTGCATGGGTTGGATAGGTTCTCTCTCACTGACCTACAATCCCAGTCCTTGGGTTATTGGACAGGGTTTCACTACATAGTTCAGGAACTCTGAATGCTCCTGAGTCAGTCTCCTGAGTATTTGGACCATAGGCATGTACCACCACACCCAGATCTTTTGACTCAATTCCATTTGCTTCTGAAGGCAAGGGGAAGTTTGCCTTAGCCTTGCAATGTCCTGTCCTCACGGTGAAACTGTTCAGCTCATTTAACTTCCCAAGCTCATCTGAGAAATGGGGTTTTGACAGTGGGGCTTTCTTTATTGTGTACCCAGCATACACAATAGACTGGTTTTGCTGTTTCCTGGCATAGTGGAATTGATGTCCGTAGAAAATACCAGATACGGCTGGATGGTGATGATGCACACTTCTAATTCCAGCACTCAGGAAGCAGAGGCAGGCAGATCTCAATGAGTTCGAGATCATCCTGGTCTACAGAGAGAGACTAGGACAGCCAGGGCTACACAGAGAAACCCTGTCTCGAGAAACCAAAAAGAAGAAAACACCAGATACACAGTAGAGAACACTGAACTGGGTGGAGAGGGAGAGGACTGCAGGCTGGTGGGGACAGGAAGCCTTCCAGAAGGCAGTCACGTAGGGGTCTTCTAGGGACCTGAGAAACTGGCTCTGATTTTTCAGCTGGTGATGGCCTCCTTGTACCACATCTATGTGGCCCTGGAGGAGGAGATAGAACGCAATAAGCAGAACCCAGTCTACGCCCCGCTCTACTTTCCTGAGGAGCTGCACCGAAGGACTGCCCTCGAGCAGGACATGGCCTTTTGGTATGGTCCCCACTGGCAGAAGACCATCCCTTACACACCGGCCACACAGCACTATGTGAGGCACCTACACGAGGTGGGGCGCACTCATCCTGAGCTGCTGGTGGCCCACACATACACCCGTTACCTGGGTGACCTCTCAGGGGGCCAGGTCCTGAAGAAGATTGCGCAGAAGGCCCTGGACCTGCCCAGCTCTGGTGAAGGCCTGGCTTTTTTCACCTTCCCCAACATTGACAGCCCTACCAAGTTCAAACAGCTCTACCGTGCTCGCATGAATACTCTGGAGATGACACCTGAGGTCAAGCACAGGGTGACAGAGGAGGCTAAGACCGCATTCCTGCTCAACATCGAGGTGAGCTTCACCACTCCTCCAAGCCACACTACTGTTATTGGAGGGAGGGTCCCGGAGTCACAGTTAAATACAAGGTTTTCAGAGGCTGAAATGCTTCAGGTGGCATTTGCTTTTGGAGATTTTCTATACAGCGACAGAGGTATCTCACAACTTTCTGCAAATGCCTCAATACAAGGAGGAGGAAAATGTGGGTCTTGTAATGATTTATTTTTTTTTATGTTCATTGATGTTTTGCCTATATATATGTCTGTTTGAGGATGTCAGATCCCCTGGAGCTGGAGTTACAGACAGTTGTGAGCTGCCATGTGGGTAGTGGGAATTGAACTGGGTCCTCTGGAAGAGCAACTGGTGCTCTTAACCTTTGAACCATCTCTCAGCCCCTAGGAAAGTGAGTTTTGAGCAAGGCCCTGAAAGATAGAGCTGTAGGGGTATAGTGTCCTGTTGATTGTGGTGCTATGGTGCTTAGGGTTCTAATTCATGACCTCCTGGCTCCCCACTTTCAGCCTGGGATCCCTTAAAAGGTCCGCCAGGCAAGCACCTGTTAGAGAATTATCCTTTCAAATCTCTAAATCCAACCACATCTAGACCATCCATGTCCTTCTGAGGATATGAAGCTGGGGGTGGGGCGGCACATGCCTTTAATCCCAGCACTCTTTGGGAAGCAGAAACAGGTGGATCTCTGAATGAGGTCAGCCTGGTCTACAGAGCGAGTTCCAGGACAGTTAAGGCTACACAGAGAAACCCTGTCTGAAACAAACAAAAAGACTCAGCCCAGCAGAGAGCTGGATCTCCATCCTGACTCTTAGTCAATCTCAAGCGAGGAGCTATGGTTTCCTCACCTGCAGAAGCAGTCTGAGGCTCTCTCCACGGCATACCCCTTAGCAAGGATGAGAGAGCAGGTTGTATGCTGCTCAGCGACCACACAGTCATGTGTTGTTTCAGAGGAGGCAAAATGGCTCTCCTAGTGGGCATACATAAAATCCTGAACTCCAGATTTAGGACAGCTGTTATTACTGGTGGGGACTAGGTGGAGGTACAGACACATTAGGGAAGCACAGGCAAGGAAGCTAACTGAACCTGACTTATCTCTCATAAGGCAGGTGGAAGACACATGGGTGTGATAGTTTTCTTAAGTTGTGTCATTTCCACAATATTTCATAACATGCTTCAAGCTCTGCCTTCAGCTGGGGCCACCACTGAGTCTCATTAACATGGCAATATGTCTTATCTTCTAGCTGTTTGAAGAACTTCAGGTACTGCTGACACAGGACCACAAGGACCAGAGCCCCTCACAGATGGAGTGGCTTCGCCAGCGGCCTGGTAGCCTGGTGCAAGGTAAAGGTGCCCTCGCCTCTGGCTCTTCATGGCGGGAACATGGCTGTCTCTGGGATTTTTTTTATTCTCCTCTTTTCTGAATGTTATAAATTAGAAATAGGGTACAGACAAAAGGACCAAGGGTCATCCTGTAATGTGTGACTGGGTGAGCTGTACGGCTTTTTTCTACCTCAGTTTCCCCACATTGGGAAATCAGGTGGTTGGGTTGTAGTATATTGGCTGAGGTGTACAGAAATCCCTTAGAAGTCACTGGCACAGAAATCCTTTCATTTAGGACCACCCCTCCCCCAACTTTTTTTTTTTTTTTTTTGAGGCAGTCATACTGTGTTACCTAGGCTGGCCTCAAACCCTGGGATCAAACAATCCTCTTGCCTCAATCTTTCACAAATAGCTGGGATTGTAAGTGTTTCCTTTTTCAGACCCACTAAAGGCTCCTGGAAGGGCTTTGGGGACCTATTTTCAGTGCTGACCCTCCAGGGGACACTAGAAAGACATCTGGACCTTGGGTGCCAGCCCCTCTCTCCTGTGCCTTAGCTGGAGCCATAGCAAGACTTCCAAAAAGACCAGTGCCTTCCTTGAGCCTGTCACCCCTGGGACAGAGTGTGGCATAGGGAGTGGGTGACGAGAGGATGGGCAGGGCAGGTTATATGAAGCTGTCTTGCTCGATGCCATCCTAACCCACTTTTTGCCTAAAGCTTTCCCAACTGGGACAGGATCCCATGGCCCTGTTGCCAGAAGTATTGTTTCTGGTGGCTGAAATGTGACCAGCCCTGATGGGAGTTGGCTACCTGGTTGGGTCAGGGGACTTTTCCCTTGATAGGACATGGTTGAGCATGGAGGAATGAAGAGCTTGCGAGTGAGTGCCTAGATTGGAAGGTGTTCAAGCAGTGGCTAGTGGGCACTGTGTGCTGTAACAGAAACGTGTCCTTAGACAGACACTGGATCTCCTTTACTCTGTGTACTTTCATGTCATATACCCCAGGCTGCATGTGTTTGACCTTTTCTCTTTCTCTTTCAGACCCTACCCCTGCAGAGACACCCAGAGGGAAGCCTCAGATCAGCACTAGCTCATCCCAGGCACCACTCCTCCGATGGGTCCTCACTCTTAGCTTTCTGATGGCAACAGTGGCAGTGGCAATTTATGCCATGTAAATGCAAATATGCTGTGAACTCTGTCCATGAAGGGCCTTCTCTCTGTTGGGGAGAATCTTGCCTGGCTCTCTTCTCTGGGGCCTCTAAGAAGCTTTTGGGGCTCCTAGCCCCCACCCTGTGTCCTCTTTCTCTCTGCAATGGAGGGAGACGCTTGACACATTTTCCCCTCACCAAAATCACATCCAGCTAGTGGCCTGAACTTTGAAACCAGCAGCCCCAATTCCTGCAGCAGAGCCCAAAAGCCGTGGCCTGAAGGGCAGCTGTTATGAGCCCGGTGCCCTTGGTTGTCGGCGTCCATGTTAACTGCCATGACTGCTTTTCTCTGGTGTTATGGCCACTTTGATAGCAGTGTGTAGAGATGTTCTCTTGTGTTTCTGTCTTATCACTTCCCCAGTTCCACCTGAATGGTGGTATTTTGTTGTGTTGGTTTTTTTTTTTCTAACGAAGTTGGGCTGTCTTTTGAGGGGTGGGTGAGGAAGAGGTATTTAATAGTTGTAACCTTGGTCTTCAACTTCTGTGTGAAATAATAAATGACATCTAACAGTCACTGGAAGTGTCTTTGTGTTTCTGCTGTTCGTGAAATGGGCCCTATCCCTCTCTTTGTCTCTTCAGTACCTGGCAGGAGGGCAGCTGATGGTGGCATTGGGAGCTGTGATGGTGGCTGCTTTGACATCTGGAAGTGAGCTTTAAGCAGCTGGGAAGATCATACTGACAGTGGGTGTGGGGGTATGTGTTTGTGTGTGTGCAGGATGCTTGTGTGTGTGCATGTGTTTGTGTGTGTGCAGGATGCTTGTGTGTGTTCATGTGGAGGCCAGAGGTCAATCTCAGGGTTTTTTTTTTTTTAAATATTTATTTATGATGTATACAGTGTTCTGCCTACGTACATGCAGAACACCAGAAGAGGGCACCAGATCTCATTATAGATGGTTGTGAGCCACCATGTGGTTGCTGGGAATTGAACTCAGGACCTCTGGAAGAGCAGCCAGTGCTCTTAACCTCTGAGCCATCTTGCCAGCCCCAATCTTGGGTTTTTTTTTTGTTTGTTTGTTTTTTAAAGATTTATTTATTTATTATGTATACAGAAGAGGGTGCCAGATCTCATTACAGATGGTTGTGAGCCACCATGTGGGTGCTGGGAATTGAACTCAGGACCTCTGGATGAGCAGTCGGTGCTCTTAACCTCTGAGCCATCTCTCCAGGCCCCCCAATCTTGGGTTTTTAAGGAGTAACTTTAGCAATAGGAAAAAAATCCAGCATGAACTGAGTCCTCACCTTTCTTTTCAGTGGTGGGAATTCAATCCAGAGCTTTGTTCATATTAGGCAAGACTCTCACTGAGCTACATCCTCAACTTCTACTTGTGCAATGGTGAATGAGTATTTTACACTCCTGTGCATACGGTGCTGAGAACAGATCTAGGACCCTGCACACGCCAATTTAATGCTATCCTCCTAAGACACAATCCCAGCTTGCCCTGGGCCCTTTAATGGTAGGTGGATGGACTAGAAGGGGGTTAAGGTACTGAACAGAGTTAAAGAAGCAAGAATTACAAAGGTTAGTTAATGTAGACGTCTTGAGACCAGCTATATCTGCCAGCAGGCAATTATCAGAGTTAAAATTCTATCTTCTTACAGAGACTAGGCAACAGGTTCTATCCTCAGGGGCTGGCTGGAGCAAACAGTGACCATGATTTTGTCACCTTCAGTTTTCTCTGGCTAGAGATATGGCTTTGAGCCATTCCAAATATTAATGGTTATTCAAGTATTTATAGATAGACACAAAGCAGGGACAGGCAGGAAAATAGCCCAGCCACCCTTACCTGTCTGGATCTGGCTCATGTCTCTTGCCGACTGGTCAAGAGTTTCAACATAGGGGGCTGGAGAGATTTTGGCTCAGTTCCTAGTACCATCCATTACAGGGGCTTGTCTTTCTTGAAAACTGTTGTTGCCTTTTAAGCAATGGCTGTCCTAATCAGCAACTGCAACTCCACTGCTATCAGCAGCAAGATGGGCTACAACACCAGCAGCCTGAGGGGATTCTGTTCCCTCAGGCATGGACTCTTTCAAAGCTAAAAGGGAACTCATTTAAATCTCTGTCCCTCTAAAGAACTCAAGATTTAAAGGTTGAGGTGGCATTCTGCTCCTCAAAGAGGCTGAATAGCAAATAACCTCTTCTCCTTGCTCAGCTTCTCCACCTGGTTCCTCCCTACTTCTTCCCCTCAGCTCGTTGCTGACTCAGCCTCCTGACTGCAGGTTAATTTTATTTAATCAAACAAATGTAACACATCTTTTCATCATTAAATAAATGTTCCAAAGCATGAACAAAAGTAACACACCTTAAAACACTATTCTACCACAGGGGCTCTCACACCTCCTGATGCACAAAAAATTATGCAGGCAAAACACTGTAATATAGATAAAATAAAACAAATATCTTAAAATTAAAACAAACAGTTGGGTGATGGTGGTGGACTCCTTTAATTCCAGCACTCAGGAGGCAGAGACATGTGGACCTCTGTGAGTTGGAGGCCAGCCTGGTCTACAGAGCTAGTTCCAAAAGTCTCGAAAAACAAAAAAGCAGCCGGGCGGTGGTGGCACACACCCTTAATCCCAGCTCTCGGGAGGCAGAGGCAGGTGGATCTCTGTGAGTTCTGAGTTCGAGGCCAGCCTGGGCTACCAAGTGAGTTCCAGGAAAGGCGCAAAACTACACAGCGAAACCCTGTCTTGAAAAACAAAACAACAACAACAACAACAAAATAGGGTTTCTCTGTAGCACTGGCTGTACTGGAACTCACTCTGTAGACCAGGCTGGAATTCACAGAGATCAGTCTGCCTCTGCCTCCCGAGTGCTGGAATTTTTTTTTTGTTTGTTTTGTTTTTCGAGACAGGGTTTCTCTGTGTAGCTTTGCGCCTTTTCCTGGAAATCACTTGGTAGCCCAGGCTGGCCTGGAACTCACAGAGATTCACCTGCCTCTGCCTCCCGAGTGCTGGGATTAAAGGTGTGTGCCACCACCTGGCAATTTATTCATTTTTAAAGATATATTTATCTTGTATAATATTAGAGGGACAAGCCTTAATATTATACATATATCCCCAGGGGCTCAGGAGAGAGAACTACTAAGGGCGAGGACTATTTTTGGGAAAGAGAATCTCAGCACACCGAGCTCTTTATTGCTTTAATTCCTCTGGGATAACATCCTATTTACACAGCTTCATTTCTGTTCTTGTGCCTAGTTCCTTTCTTGCCTGATTTCTCTCTATATTTATCTACTGCTCCCTCTAAGTTCTATCTTAATTCTCTTGTCTTAATTCTGCCTCATCTAGGTCCTTTTCATCTTGTTCTTACCCAGCTGGCTCTTCCTCATCTTCCATCTCATTCCTCTAGTACAGTTCTTCACCATCTCAGTTTGTTCCTCTCAAGTTCTTACCCATCTAGTTCTTCCATTCTCTTTTCTCTTCTCCGTCCTCTCGTGCCCTGGGAGTCCCGGTATATATACATTTGCAAGCAGTATTCCCTTAGCAGCGCAAAGTCAGGCTTCCAGGGTCAAATGGAGGGGTGATAAGAATCACATAGAGAGGCAGTAATTGTTAATTATCACTTGCAACCCAAAAGGGAAGTGACTAATGGGGAAATGAATTAACTAAAGGCTAAATTCGGGTAATATCTAAGAAGAGGGTAGAAAATGTTCAAAATCTGTAAGTTACTAGGTCAATGGGAGAAAATAAAACTGCCTTCTTTTTCCTGTGGCTCCTATCTGTCCAAGCTATCTGCTGTTTTCTTCTGCAAGGTGGAGGAAGGTGTGCTCGGTCGCTAGGCAACCTGTGTACAGCTGGATGCCTCTGGTGGTAGTTATAGGGAGATCTGGAACTAGAGGTAAGATTTGGGAAAGGAGGAAGTTAGGCTTAATTGGCATATCCGCCAGGCCTTCTCAAACAGGTACCCTGGATGCTTAAGTCTGTTCTTAGAGAGTACAGAGGTATCTCTGATAAGGTACTTTCCTCCATCTGGGGATGGACCTGGCTGGATGCTGCCAATGATGATAATTACAGGGAGGTTTGAACTGGGATTCCAGCTGAGCATAGCTGTTAGCCCAGAAGGTTATCTAAATATTCCTAGAAGTGGTTAGGTAAGGAGTTAGCGGTCTATAAAGTTAGTAAGGCTGTAAAAAGGGAGGGTCCGAGCTAAATTGTGTAAAGCTATTACTTAAGGTCCACCTGACCTAGGCAGTGTCTCCTTGTGGAATTTACCTTAAATCAGGAGACTTGCATGTGGACTGTTATTATGCTAGTCCTAGTCCTTGAAAGTGGCTAAGGGAGATATCTGATTCCAGAGAAAGCCTTTCTTGAGGCAGTTCTCCAAATACCTGGAATGTGTATGTCCAGAGAGTGATCAGTCCACATTGTTAGCCCTTCTTAGGGAAAAATCAACTGGGAAAACTATGAAGGCACACATGATTTTCATAACAGAAAATATATCACACAGCTGATATATAACAAGCCAAATAACACCAAAAGCTTCTTGGAATTTGGCTTCCTCTGGAGGAATTCCTTCATCTCTCCAGGTAGTGACTTTGCCATAACCAGCTGAGTTCTTATGATATATCCCTGTGGCCTGCAACATATTTATATTTATGTGTATGAATGTTTTGCCTGCATCTACATATGTTCACTACATGTATGTCTGGTGCTTGTAGAAGTCAGAAGAGGGCATCAGATCCCCTGGAATTAGAGTTACAAATGGTTGTAAGTCACCATATATGTGCTGGGAATTGAACCCAGATTCTCTGCAAGAGCAGCTAGTGCTCTTAATTGCTGAGCCATCTCTCCAGTACTGAACTTGCTGACTCTGCATCACTCTGACTCTTCCTAAAATTTCTTTTCTGTGCAGTATGTCAAGTATTCCATCTGCACCTGAGGGAGGCCCCAGCCAACCATGTGGAATTACATTTCTGCAGTTGGTGATAACTGTTGAGAACAGACTCAGAGCTTAGATTTTGGTCAAAAAGAGAATAAAGTACTTAAAATAGAATGTGCTAAATCTCTTGGCACACAGGGATGACCTCTAAATGCTGAGAAAACCAAGTCTTAGATTCACTTGATTTTTTTTTTTTATAAACTGCAAAAATGCTCATACTTTATTCTCTGTAAATACACATTTGAGTGACTGTGGCACGGAACAGGTTTTCACTTGTTCATGTGGATAGTAGAACTCAACCAAGGGGAAATTATACAACTAGTGTTGCTGTGTGCCAAATCTGTCATTTTTTTCAAGATTTCTATTTGGAATTTGGGCGTGAATTTCAAATGCTTTAAGCATTACCAAAGAATTAAACACTTTCCACTATCATCATTCACCTGGATCTGGATGAAAGAAAACACCTTTGGCATCTTAGGTTTGGTACCATCTGGCTGTAGGCTGCCCTACAGTTGTCAGAAACTGACCTGTCCCAAGAGCTGCCTAGGACAGCACTCTGGCACCTCCTGCTGGGCTGGGACAAGAGGACACCTCTCAGGCATACTACTTTCTCCCAGTAGCTCTAAAAGGGGTGC